TATAGTACATAGTAATAGTAGTATAGTAGTAGTATGCATACTATATAGTAATAGTAGTACTATAGTAACTACTATATATATTACTATATTACTATGTAGTATATTCTGCATTAGACATATTTGGTAGGATCAGAGGAAAAGATACCTGTCGCGAATTTCTCTCAAACATTCAATTTAAATTTAAAATAAACATCGATTTTGTTTCGAAAAAGAAGTTGGAATTAATGAACCACTGGCGAGAAATCTCACTTCATAACACTATTTCTACAATTCTACTTCATTAGTAATATTTCACAGTTGTAGCGAAGTATCTCGTCCAAGGTAGCGAAAGGATTGAAAAGATTGCAGTTGCATTTGTTTTCATTCAAAGGATTTTCAACCAAGGAGGCATTTCACGATTTTGAAAGTGAATCGCCGTTTTGTCACTTATTATATTTCTTACTATTAGTCGACCGAGATACTCGTGTATATATGGAAAAAAAAAACAATCGTAGGTTTCTCATTAACTATGATCTTCATTAGAATTAAATGTACTTTTTTTTATTTAATAAAGTAAATTTGTGTGAAATACTGATATCCTAAAATGGAAAAAATCTCTATACCTTAAAGAAAAGTGAAGAATGATGTTCTGATATACTATGGAAAGGGATAAAAATCATCATCCATTAAATATAGGACACCATCATGATCATTTACTCCTGTTTTTCAATTTTTTTTTTTCAATGATACAAAGTCAACTTAAACAGGTCATAAGATTTAAAAATCTTTAATAAGTATTCGAAGAGTGAAAAGACTTTTTTTTTTTAGAAATGTAAAATTTCGTAATATATAACAAGAAGTATTAATAAAATAATATATAACAAGAAATATATAATATTAAATATTTCTTAATAAAAAATATATAATATATAATATGTATAAATGTAATATATAACAAGAAATTTAATAAATAAGCAGCAGAGAAAATTTTGAAGTGCAAAATTGCAATATAAAATGCATAAAAGTTAATATATAAAATATCAATACTACAAAAGCAATATCAAAACTACAAACACAATTTTTTGTTACCATTTACCATGAATTTTCTAACAGAAATTGGAAGAGCGATAAAACATTCTGAAAGACGATGAGGTCTCGTTAACGAAACTTTGTTTTTGGATTATAACAATTCAATACTTTCGATGACGTGAATTCTAAAAAGTGACGATGCTGCAAATATAAGTTTTTAAAATTGTTGCTTGTAGCATCTTCTCACTCGAACAGATTGATGGAAATAAATCACACGTACGAAATTCAAGATCAATGTTGACCTATTTTCAACCTTTCAAGCTTTCGTCTTCTTCTAAAACATGAAAAATTCATACAGAAGATCGTTCGTGCAATTCAGAAGACACTGAAACAAATTTGGAGTGTTTGTTAACGAGCAATCGAATCATCTTCGTCGTGTATCCCATCGTCTTACCTGTTTTTAATGGTTGTTTGTTTTAATGCAACGACGAAGAGCAAACAGAGGTTGAATACCCATAAATATCACGAATCTCACTGGTAGCGAAGGATTAATCGTGCGTGATCATTGTCACGGGAGCAGAAGAGGGACGTTTCCGGTAGGGAGAGCGCAGAAACTTGCGCAGGTGAGCATTCCAACCGCGATGGTTAAGTTAATCGCTTGCGCTGGCATTGCGGACCATAACGAGTGACCGGTTCTCAATATTTCGAAATTTCGTGAAATTTTAAGTTTCCAGGTTTCTGGAGATTCTAAAAATTTCTAGAAATCTACGATCAAACAAAGAATCTAAGGGATCTTGAAAAGAATGTAGATTACTGCGAGTCACTCATTTGGAACCATAAATCGCGCGAAGATCTAATGATTATTCTATTGACCTGAAATTTGCGTATCTCAGATTCCCCAAACTTCAAAGATTAAACGAGTAATCAATATTCAAGAATTCAAATGACCCGATGATAATTCCACGATCCTTCGATAACTTTGAAGCTGTGCCACGATCTTCAATTCGTCCCGTGGCCGTCCCTTAACCCCTTCTGTTGGCAACTGATTGCGGACCGTAACGAGTGACCGAACCGTATACAATAATTCGTCGCTTTCTTCTTCTATTGAAAACTCGTCGGTACGATATCACTGGATAAAGATTATTATTATTAGGAAGATTTATTATTAAGGAGTAATAAACTTATCATTTGTTTTGCCTGGATTACATTTAAGTATACTTGAGACTGAGGAAATGTGACAATTTTGGGACAAAAAATTCCAGCGCAAAAGATTAAGCCGGCCGGTACGATGCGATTCTTGCAGTTGAATTCGCATGAGCTGCCGCAGATGATCCATATCCGTCAATCGAATAATTGGCTAATCGTGTTACACACCAGGTTTGTCATTGCAGAATCTTACTGGAACGTCCGTTTACGTTCAAATATTCGGAGGCAACTGTATGCTTCCAACAGAATAACGAACAATGTGCGTAAATGGAGGAAAAGTTAAAGATTAAATTTTTTAGCAGACGAGAAGAATGAATATACTGATATTACAAGTGTTAGAATTGGACTTTAACAAACGAAATGTTTGAATTTTGCGAGATGAATTGATGATTTTTACGTGGAGATGTTCGTATTTTTATTAGGATTATGAATTACAATGCACGAGTTGTTACAAACTAAAAATAACTTTTCAAATTATCGTAGAATTATAGTAGAGCTAACATCGTGAGCTAATATTTCTTCGTTACACTGAATATTTCCTCTTAATATTTTATTTCTCTTAATATTAATATTTTCTCTTTTCCTTTTTCAACTTGACGATTGAATTTGTTCGTATTGACTCGAGCGTAAGAAATCACCTTGAACTTGCAAAGGATTATAGTTGGTTTCTACTGAAATCGTGGAGACAATTGATAAAGAAACGAAGAAAAGGAGTTTTCTCTGTGTAAAAATGTAATAATAAGAAACCGATACCTCGAGAAATATTATTACGAATATACCGTATGTGTTGCATATCAGATTTCACAAGATTTACGACAAACGTATTGCAAAAGCAATTAATAAAAGACGTAGAAGCCCAAGAATTCCCGACTTCCTGCTACCTTTTTTTCATTAATTCCAACCTGGCGTTTAAATTTCTCTGCTCGAGCATTTTTCAACTGCTGACACAGTAAATTGCCCACGGAAAGTATATCAGAATTCAAATTACTTAACTGACGTACTTTGAGCTGTTACGTATTTAATTTCCACGTTTCGAGAGAGAAAGCAATAAAAGTATCTATTGACTTCTTTATCGATCGATGATTTAACACGTTAATTCTCATTGAAGTTGAACGTAAATGTCAGAGAAACGACTTACAACCTATTCGAGAAACTGTACGTTAGTTACGTTCGTTGTCGCTTGCGTCTACGCAGCGAGCAAAATGTGTTTATCGATAATATCTCGAGTAGGATAGAAAGGGGACTATTCATCGTCAAAATTAAAAAAAAGATCTTGAGAAAGCCTCTGTTATCTTCTCGTCATAATATACGACGCGAATTTCTTCAGGCGAAGAAAGAAGCAGTGTTGTAAATCTTCAGAAATAATAATAATACATTAGGATAATAGCTAAGATTCGTGGAAACAGCTCTCAATTTAAATTCATATACTTTGTCTTCTCTCTTGAAGAATAAAATTACCATTTTAAGAGAAAATAAAATACAATAAAATACAATAAATTAAATACAATTAATTAAAATAAAATTACAATTTTAAAAGAAAATACTTGATGAAATACTTCTAAGGGAAATAAAAGTTAAAGCTTTCGCTAATTACGAAATTACATGAAATAATAATATATTATATTAATTATATTATAATATATATAGTACCAGTATTAATTATATTATAATAATTATATATGTAGGTACCAATATTATATATAATTATATATATATATATACTAGTAGTGCTATATGTATAATTATATATATAATATTATATATATAGTACTAGTATTATAATAATTATATATATCGGTTCCAGTATTATATATAATTATATATATAGTATATATAGTAATTATATAATTATATGTATAGTATCAGTATTAATTATATTATAATAATTATATATATAGGTACCAGTATTATATATAATTATATATATAGTATATATAGTAGTTATACAATTATATGTATAGTACCAGTATTAATTATATTATAATAATTACATATATAGTACTAGTAGTAATATATATTATAATAATATAACATCGTAATATTAATTACATTACACTATAATAATATAAAATCCATTGAATGAAGGAAAAGATTCTTAGAAAAAACTAGCGTGATACTTCAAACAAAAATCGAGGCTTCCGTGAGCATCGAAACCGTGCGCGATGCTAATTCGTGTCGAGGGAAGGAAGGAGGCTGACACGCGATCGGATGTTGGAAAATTCGCGTCCTGCTGGCGATTAATCGTCGATCATCTGACCGACCGCTTCGTTGTCTTTCCGTTGTGGATCACGCGAGCCGAACGATCGCCGATCAATTAACGCATTCTCTCACGTTATCGACGTTTACCTTTCGAACGAGCCAGGGATACCAACGACAGGGGCGAAAACTCGCTCGATCCTCTCTTCATTCATTTGCACGAGCTCTCTCTCTCTTTCTCACACTTCGACGAGCTTCGTCGACTGTTTCACAATATTCGAATCGAAAAACGAGGGAACACGCGCGAGATTCGTACTTACGGTGTTGGATTTCAAGTTCAAGTCGTTGACACGGTTGGCCACGTGATCCTCGCCGCTCGTACAGATGTCGTTCGATCAACTACGTCACTTTTCGAATTTCCCGCCACGGAGATGCACCGTTTTCCCGATGGTCGAAACGTTCAGCCGCGGCTCGTCGCGCGTGGCTCGCGAAGATTTTCTGGTGCACGATCGAAAAAACGATCGGAGAGCAGCGAGGTCGGCGTTGAAACCTCGTGAAACTGCGATCGCGTTGCCAACGACTGTACCGAGCAGCGAGCTTATCCAGTGACGTCAACGCACCTTCCTCGCCCCCCTTTATCCCTTCCATTTTCTCTCTTACCTAGCCTTTTCCTCCTACTTCTCAACGAAATCGAGGATCGTCGATCAGCATTGAGTCACGTAAGTACACACTCGCGAACCAAGCGTCTTGCCTGACAACCTGTGCCGTTGCCTCATCATCCTGTGAGGCGAGTCTTCTCTTTCATAAATTTCGAGTCGTTCGGTCATTTTGAATTTACCTGAACCTAACCTAGACCTGTTGCGCTGGGATGACGTGCCACGCACGTCGAGAATTTTTTGTTCCAAAATTGTAATATTTTCTCAGTTGCAAGTATTATTTAAGTAAAATAGGCAGAACAAGTAATTTATTACTTCTCAGTAATTTCTATCCAGTGATAGCGTACCGACGAGTTCAAAAGAAGAAGAAAGCGACAAATTATTGTATATATGGTTTGGTCACTCGTTATGGTCCGCAATCAGTGGCCAGCATAATTGGTTAAGCACTGGAGAATTTATTATTTGATATTCCAGTACTGATAAAATAATTTTGGTTTAATTAATACTAGAACTACCGACGAAAAAGTATAACATTGGTATAAGCCAAAGAAATAAGTATAATATAAGTACCAAAGGAAAAAGCATAATATTGGTATAAGTGCCAAAGAAATTAAAGTGCAGGCTACAAGAAAAAGTTAATAATACAATGTACAAAGAATACGAGCTTTTATTAATAAATTTTATTAAAAATCACTCGAGTATGTGAAAATACATTGTTGCAAATATATAAAATTTCTGTAGGAAATTATAAATTAGTCAGTTTTGACCACTTTGGTAGTTCTAATGTAATGTTAATTAGAGCTCTTTTGGACGATGATTCATTACGATAACAGTAAATGAATTGGTAAACGAGAGTTATGAAGTTCTATTTCATAATTTTATAATTCTCATCAACTACGATAATTACACAATTTCTAATTTATAAAATTTGATTTGAAAATTTTATTTATCCCGTATTTTTTTCAAATTTGTTACTGTTATGTATACTGCCGGTGAGTCTTGATTTAAAAAATTTCGAGTTAGACCGAGCATTTTTATATATCTATGTAAGAAAATTTAGGCATTTATGAAAAATAAATGTATAATATGAATATAGAGAATATACAAAGTACAGCAATATTTTATAAACGAGAAATATAGAGAATATACAAGGTACAGCAATATTTTATAAACGAGACAAATTTCTGTCAAAATTATTATAAAAGTATGACATTGCATCCATAGTTAAATTTCATTGATATTAATCTGTGATTTCAAAAATTTCGCTAATAATCTTACATAATTACGCAGAACAATTCAAATATTAATCTCTTTTTAAAAAGTTATGATATTATACTTTATCTTAGAGCGATTTAATAATACACTAACTTTATACCAGAATTATTATGTTAACAAATTTAAACAGTTGTTCGTTGTTTCGATAGTACTTTGTAAAGAAAATAACGATTAAAATATTAAACTGATCAGTAAGAAAAGTTAATTGTCCAGATTTTATTTAAATAAAGCAAAAATAATTATTGAAGGACATTGATTATCGAATGGACAAGTTATAGTGAAAATTGATCTATTAAAATTCGATCGTGTGTAACAAAAATATTGTTAGGTTAACGAATCCTGTTCTACGATCGAGAAAAATTATTTATTTATTGGTTAAGCTCGACTCGCTTGACGCATTTATGAGAATTTATACACACAATACGTCTGAGATGGTGCGCATATTCGATGAGATTTAAATATGCAGACCATGAATGTTGATCCGGACATTGGGTTTTTCGATGTATAGTATACTAATCGAGTAGTCCTCAGTTACATCGTTCCTCCGAGTATAAGTCATCACAACTGTTACGTGTCTTCTCCCATCTTAAATGGTGTTTTAAAATCTTATTTCGATTAATCAAGTTATCTGAATCGATGCAATTTAAATTCGAGTAATTTGAAATTCTTTTTCCAAAGCGAATTGTCATTTGTCTGATGTGAAATATATTTCAAAATTATATACTTTAAAAATAAAAAAAATAAAAATAAAATGTACTTTAAAGATGTTATTTAAAAAAGTGTTTTCAAGTTTTTATGATTATATTACAATTTATAATTATTCTTAGACTTGGAAAAGATAACGCGTTTGTAATTATAATTAACATATACATATACGCTGTCGTACATAAATCTGAATAATTTCATCAGAAGTATTTATATTTTTGTTTCATTTCAGAAATTACGATCGACAAATATTTTTTACTATTATACTATTAAATTTAATTTGAGACAAGGAAAATACACATGTATATATACACACATAATTTGATATATATATATATATTATTCATATTCTATATCATTTATTTTTAATAAATAGTTGACAATTCATAAAATTTATACATACGTTTTGAAGGTTTTCAATATTTTTTAACATATTTTTGAACATATTTCAATATTTTATTTTTATTTTTATTTTGTGGCTAAAAACATATTTTAATCCTTTTAATATTTCAACATTACTCAAACATTTAACTTGCTATCTCTGCAAAATTAATCTTCAGCCATATTAAATTATTATTTTTTTATTTATATTAATTAATATTGTATATTACCAATTCATATTGTATATTGTATATTGATATTGTACACATCTAAACTAAATTAATTTATGTGATTTGTATTCCATATATTTGCAATAATTTATAATTGCCCAAATACTTATGTATGTATGATATTGTACATACATTATTATTTTTGTTTCACTTTTCCTTAGATAATTTGTAATCAAATTACTTGAACTTACGCGAACTTGTGAATTCAAGTAACTTGACTAATCTGGACAACGTTTTTTTTCGAAGTATAATATCTTTGTAAATATCTCAACGAAAAAAGTTAATATTTCTTTCTCTGAAAATCCAACTCTCATACATATGTATGTCTATTTCCTTTGTTTATTTTTTTTATCTATTTTGCTATTTGCAATATATAGTATAATTAATATTATATATAATTTTAATATTAATATTATATATAATTAAACATAATTTTAATATATATAATTAGACATGATTTTAATATTAATATTATATATAATTAAACATAATTTTAATATATATAATTAGACATAATTTTAATATTAATATTATATATAATTAAATAGACAACAAAACGAAATTTAAAAACAAAATTCGACAATGTGAATTTAATTGAGAAAGAATTGCGAACGAAAGTACCGATTACCGATATACAAGTTGTGTCATAGCAAGTTAAATAAAGCAAAGAGAGAGAGAGAGAGAGAGAGAGAGAGAGAGTGTGTCATTCGTTGAATCAACAATTTCCAATGACGATTGACCCGCTAAAATTCGATCGTGCAGGCTGGTTCCCAACAATGGTTCCCACCTATTATCTCATTCGCGTAACGTGCTCGTTAGATTGAATTTTTCGTTGATCGCGAGATCGTTTCGCGAGCAGAGCACGTGCGTTCACGATGCATCGGCTTGTGTGCACACCGTACACGCTAATGCGCACTAACAGGGGCCAGTGTGTACACTAGTATCCACTAATAGGGGACACACTTCGCCGTGATAATAACCAATTACGTCAACGAGGCCGGAGGGCACGACCGTGACGTTTCGATGAGTACCATCAGCGGTCGTCATCTGGTCGTCGAAATATTCCCTCGCCAAGTTTTGCATTTTATTATTATTAGGGGAAAGTTCCCTAATTTGGATCAATTCCGCAATTGGACAGTAACCTTTATGTAAATTAACTTACGCGACACCGCTTGCAATTAGTATGACGTGATATCGTGCTTTTGCAAAGAAAACAACTCGAAAAAAAAATACTCTTTCAGTAAAAGTGAGAAATATTTATTATTTTGTTAATTAAAGGAACAACGCAATTATCGATATGCATTTTTTCAGAATAAGAAGTATTTGTAGAACACAGTGTCGCATGAATCAGAAAGGATTACATAATTCCTTTTTACCGGTTATTAAATTATAAGGATCAGTGAGTAATTTTTCACAATTGGTCGAGGACTGTTTTTATAACATTTTTTACAATGATAATTCGAAAACTGGTTATTTTGTTTGGCAAAAATACATATTTAGGTTTTTTTTTTTTTTAGTGAAAAATAAATAGCTTCTTAAAGCTATAAAAAGTGCTTCTTAAAGCTATAAATAGCTTCTTTTATAGCTTCTTAAAGCTATAAAATGCTTCTTATTTTGTTATTTTTTAATAGTGTTTATCTAAGTATGCTTATCTAAATATATTTATCTAAGCAAATAAAAGTTTATATAAAATAATACAGAATAAACATGATTCAATTCGATTGATTAGGATACCTATGATGCAAATTAGGAAACTAGTTTCCTAGATTAGAAAATTTATTTATTTTTCATTAAAATTTATTATTTAGTTGTTTTGAAAGTGGTTTTTTTGTAACAATTCAGGTAATAATTTCACTCAATTTTAAGAAAATTTATTTCTTATTTAGAGAAATTTTATTTCTTATTTCTTATTTCTTATAAGAAAATAGATTTATGTTTTGTCAAGAAAATAGATTTATGTTTTAAAAATTGTCTTGTGTACACGTGACAGTAAACTATCAATGAGTTGATAAATTTTCAAATCCAATTTTCTCGAAAACAAAGCAATTTACAAAATTTGTATAAATTACTGTAACTAGTCATCTATGACCCAACAATACTATAATATTTGAGAACTGATATTAAAATTAATGTAGAGATAAAAATTATTAATTTGTATAATGTTTCATTAAAATTTTATAGATTTGCAACAGTTGCATTTTTGTAAATTTAATTGTCTCAACTTAAGCAAATTGAATGTTGCAATTGAATGCCCAATAAGCAATGAGTATCATTCATATTTAATTCAAAGTTCGAAATTTTAAGGAATTTCTTAATTAGTTTTAGTTTAGTATTGATTCTATGTTACCAATTTGCAATTCAAAATTGAAAAGTTCTTTTGAGAAATTAAAGGATGAGAAAATATATCTTAGAAATCAATCAAGTTGTACATACAAGAAGCAATTTTTCAAATTAGCAGAATCATTCTTACGC